CTACACGACAGCCTTTCAGATATTGGAAGACTGCAATCATGTCCCCTCTAAGCCTTCTCTTTCCCAGGCTAAACATACCCAACTCTTTCAGCCTTTCCTGGTAAGACTTGGACTCCAACCCTCTCACCATCCTGGTTGCCCTCTTCTGGACACGCTTGAGCTTGTCAACATCCTTCCTAAAATGTGGTGCCCCAAACTGGACACAGGACTCCAGGTGAGGCCTGACCAGAGCAGAATAGTCTTTCAGAAAGCAAAAAAAATAAGGGCCACGTGGCCCGATTGTTTTTGTTACGTGTGCTTATAATGCACATCTGTAAGACATCTGTGAAGCCTGTCTGTGATAGACTAATGGAGGGATCCCCAGTGTGGTGCCTTGTGGGTGTCGTGGTGCCCGCTGACCCCTTTTCCAGCTCCCACCTCGTGTTTTGAGAAAGTGGGCGGAGTCAGGTGGGGGCCTCTGTTTAGCTAGACTTCTGATCCATTCTTCCGACAGTAGCACCTCTCTGTCACGAGGAGCCCGTCGCTGACATGTTCTTGCATCAGAGGAACACATTCCGACAGTAGCACCTCTCTGTCACGAGTCCGTTGCTGACATGTTCTTGCATCAGAGGAACACGCCGCTATTAGTGGAATGGATCAGGAGGATGCATTCCACACAATGTTGGAAATGGCACACGTGATGCCGTCCAGTGGAATGTCCTGTGGAATGTTTAGAATCAATAGAACTACTGCAAATGTGCAGTCAGTGATTGTAATAACAATACTCTTCAAGTGTATACAAAATTACAAAATACACAATAACAATAACACTTTTGTTTTTTACAGATGATAAATAGATGACATCATCAGTAGGGTAAAACTAACCTGTCTCACGACCAGTGTTCCCTCTAAGCTGAGTTAGTGTGAGCCAGCTCACAGGTTTTTAGCCTCTGGCTCACACATTTTTGTCTCAGCTCAGGAAGGATGGCTCCAGAGCAAACTAATTTATGCAGTAGCCAAATCGCTCGCTCACAACTTTAATGCCAGAAGCTCACAGAGTAGGATTTTTGCTCACAAGACACCACAGCTTAGAGGGAACATTGCTCACGACCAGTGTTCCCTCTAAGCTGAGTTAGTGTGAGTTAGCTCACGGGTTTTTTTTGCCTCTGGCTCACAGATTATTGTCTCAGCTTAGGGAGGATGGCTCCAGAGCAAACTGATTTATGCAGTAGCCAAATCGCTTGCTCACAACTTTTATGCCAGTAGCTCACAAAGCAGAATTTTTGCTCACAAGCTCACAGCTTAGAGGAAACGTTGCTCACGACTGTCGTTATTGTTATTGTGTATTTGTATACACTTGAAGAGTATTGTTATTACAATCACTGATTGCTTGAGTCTTATTTATACTGCAACCCCCTACCTGCTTGCATGTCCTGTGGAATGTTGGCACATCCCAAGTACAACGGTTCTCAGGTTTGTGTGTTCTGACTGCGGATGATTTTCTCGGATTTCACGGAGGGTGTAATTATCGGTGTTCTGGATTGGGTTTTCACTACTGGCTCTGTATTCAAATTTGGGTGGTTTTTTTTCCTGGGCTTCCGAAATTATTTGGGTCTATTATTTTCTGTGGAGAATTCTTCCAGGAGGCTGGAGGGGCAGGGTTGGGTTTTTTTTGTTTTTTTTTTTTTAAATGACACCACAATTGCACTGGAGCTGGAGCTGCCCATTCACAGAAGAAACCCCAAGTTGCAAGTGAATTGGACCAAGGGGTTTAATTCTATGGGCCTCTGAACAAGGTGCCCCCATTCATCCTGTGTTGTTTCCCGTGAGGGAAAAAAATGCCTTGCTGTCTCCAGGGCAAAGTGTAGTCAATCCCACAAGAGCAAGCAACCACTGGTCCAAAGCCTCCCAGTGCAAAGAAAACGAGTAAGCCCAACAGAACCAATGTCAAACCGGAAAATCCCAGCAGACCCACTGGCCAATGTGGCAAGTCCAGCACATTCAGTGTCAAACCAGAGAATCCAAGCCAAACCAGCTGAAGCGAGTGAAGTCCCGCCTCAACAGAACCAGTGTCAAACCACAGAATCCCAGCAGAAGGAACTTGGCAAGCTCCTCCTAAAACAAGATTCCATTTTTCCTGTGAAGTGGCTTCCCTTCCCCCCTCACTCCTGTTACCTGGGAAATCTGCAGAAAGCAAAAAAAGCCCTCTCAATTTGGCGCTTTAAAATCCTGGCCCTGAATATTCCCAAATACTCGGGATTATTCAGGATCAGAATACCAGTATTCTCTGGGATTCTCTAATGTACATAAAAACATAAGAGATGCCAATGTTGGATCAGGCCAAAGGCCCATCCAGTCCAACACTCTGTGTCACACAGTGGCCAGAAATACCAGGTGCCATTAGGAGGTCCACCAGTGGGGCCAGGACATTAGAAGCCCTCCCACTGTTGACCCCCCCAAGCACCACGTGTATCTGGATTCAGAAAATACCTGGAAAAACCTATATGGTTTAGATCTATCCGATCCAAAAATATACTCTGAAATCGGATAGATCCGAGGTCATACCCCCAGTTCTGGTGATGACGTCACAGAATACGTTGGGCTGAGAGAAAGTGATTTCTAGACCAGTTGTATGAATTCGGCGTTTCTGAGGGATGTGCATTCGGCGTTTCTGAGTCGAATTAATTCCCAAATCATGCCTTTTCGGCATGATTCAGGCATTAGTTAAGCCGAATCAGATTCTCTGGTCGGATTTGGCTTACCAATAAAAGAATCCCGAATTAATTCGGAAATCCCGAATTTTTCAGCTCCATTATATCCTATTAGGCTATTCTAGTCAATGGCAAATCTCTTAGGGTATATTCAGTGGGATGGAGGGGAGGGGGTTTGAGGTAGAGGTGCCAAATTTGCAGTGTATCTGCTGGAGCCTCTCCTCAAAAGAACTCCCAAGTGTCAAAAAGATTGGATCAGCAAGTCCAATTCTGTGGGTACCCAAAGAGGGTGCCCCCATCCTCAATGGTTCCCAATGGGGGGGGGGAGAGCAAGACGGGTATACAACAAGCCTAGCATAGTCTCCAGCCTTTTTTGTGCCTGTGGGCACAAGTGAGGTGAGGTGTGGGGAAGGTGCATGTTTGCAAGGGCAGCAGAAAAGTCGGTGCAGTGTTCTCAGGAGAACCAGTGCCACTGTGGCAGTGCCAAAACCAAATGGATTTGACCTTAGTCCTGTTGGGTTTTGGCACTGCCACAGTGGCACTGGTTCTCCTGAGAACACTGCACCGACTTTACTGCTGGCCTTGCAAACATGTGAGTGTTCTTTTGGGTGGAGGCCCCAGCAGCTACATTGCAAATTTGGCACCTCTGCCTTCCCCCCCCCCGCCCACTGCATATATCCTAGGAGATTTGCCACTGACTATAATGGCCTCTTAGTCCTGGCCCCAACCCGGTGGAACTCCCTGCCCTGCGGAGACCTTGTGCAATTACACAGGGCCTGTAAGGCAAAGATGTTCCGTCAGACTTTTGGTTGAGGATAGCGGTTGGTTGCATTGGCTGGCACCGTCTCCCTTTCCCTCTCCTTCCATATATTCTCTTATATATATACACATACACGCACACACACACACCATAGGAAGTGGTGGCGGCTACAAGCATGGACGGCTTCAAAAGGGAATTAGATAAGCATATGGAGCAGAGGTCCATCAGTGGCTCTTAGCCGCAAAGTATAGATAGGGGCTCTGGGGCAAGGGATGCTCTGTCTTCTTGGTGCTTGGGGGGGGGGGCAGTGGGGGGGCTTCTTAAATCAGATGGCACTGGTATTTTTGGCCACTGTGTGACAAGAGTGTTGGACTGGATGGGCCATTGGCCTGATCCAACATTGGCTTCTCTTATGTTCTTATGGATAAACATATGGAGCAGAGGTCCATCAGTGGCTATGAGCCACAAGGTATAGAGAGGAACTCTCAGGCTGGGGCAAGTGATGCTCTGTCTTCTTGGTGCTTTTTTTGGGGGGGGGGCAACAGTGGGAGGGCTTCTAATGTCCTGGCCCCACTGGTGGACCTCCTGATGGCACCTGGTATTTCTGGCCACTGTGTGACACAGAGTGTTGGACTGAATGGGCCTTTGGCCTGATCCAACATTGGTGTCTCTTATGTTCTTATATATTCTGTGTAAGTCTCCCTCTCCCCTCCCGCCAAATAGCCAGGCAGTCTGGAATTGGAACAGAAAATTGTGGATCACAGTCTGGGATCTTTTATTCTGATTTTATTTTTATCCATTATATTTGGATTTTAAAGTTTGTGTTTTGTTTTACGGCATTCTGCCTTCTTCTGTACATCGCCCAAAGTCCAGCATAAACTGGGATAGGGTGATCAATAAATCGATGATGATGGAGCCAAAAGAATTGGGATTCCTGAATTGTACCTGAATTCCAATACCGATACCGGAATTCAGGTTTTCAAGGAAACACCAAATATTTAAGGGTTCAAAAAACCCGAATATGAAAAATACCAATTTTCCCCCCCTTGCACATCCCTAGTTACTTCTGATGTATTGGGGGGGTGGGATCTGCCCTGGCTTACCCTTCACTCAAAAGAAAGCTTACTAAATCAAAGCAGTGATCTCAGCAGTATAATGTCTCCTCTGCTCTCCGTTTAAAAACAAGTAGATGAGTCTGTAAAGCATACAGGTCCCGTGGTAGGTGGCTGAGGAGGGCACCGATCGAACCTGTGCCTCTAGAGAAAAGCACAAGACCATGCCAGTGGAGGGTTCCACTGTGCGTTCGCCAGGCAGCCATCCAGTTTGCTACTTTCTACAGATTTGCCAGACCTTTGCAGTGAAATCTGTACAAGTGTGAACTTCGGATTCAGTCGTTCACAACCTATGGGTCGGCTGTCTCTCTCTCTCTCTCTCTCTCTCTCTCTCTCTCTCTCTTAATATAAAGTACATTTGAGACCCAAGGTTTGTTTTTGAGTGTCTTTATAAATCAATAAATCAAGAATCAAGGAATACAGTACATTTGAGACCCAAGGTTTGTTTCTGAGTGTCTTCGTAAATCAAGAAGAAAGGGTGACCTTGGAAGGGCTTTTCGCTTCTACAGAGGAAAACCCATCCAACGCATTTGTGTATCTTAACTCGCTTGCCCTTCGATTGCCTCCATGTGGAATTAACTGTGTGTTGGGCACAGGAATCTGGATAAAATGACACTTAAAGCACACCCCGTCCCCCCAGACAGGTAACAGAAGCTTGAAAGCCAGGCAGGGCCAGTTGTACGTCCAGATGACGATTTGGGGCAGGGGTCTCCAGTCCTATTTATTTATTTATTTATTTTATATCCCGGCCTCCCTGCTGGAGCAGGCTCAGGACGGCTTACGTAGGATTTATTGAACAAATGAAACTAGCAATTTTTGTCCCTGTGGACACATTTGGAATTCTGACACGGGGTGGTGGGCGCAGCGACAGAATGGCTGCCATGGGAGCTGTCGTCTACTGAACCAGACCCTGGGTTCATCAAAGTCAGTATTGTCTACTCAGACCGGAATTGTGAACTAGGTTTTGCATTGAAGACTTTTAAGGCCATTGGGACATATCTTGTTGCCTCTCGTGTAGGAAAAACAGGCAATGGCCTCCGCACTGTTTCTTGCTAGAGTAGATTACCCCAGACATTGGGCCAGACAGCGACTTATTTTTGGTCTTTAACTGGCCCCCTACAAAGAAGTTCACAAAACCCAAACAAGGACCCACGGTAAGTAGGAAAACCAATATACAATAGATACCGTGCACAGATGAATTATAACCTATCATAAATAATTTTATATATTTAGAAAAATATTATTACAATAATTTCTTCATACATATTAATCATCATAGTCACAATTCATAATCATCATAGTCACAATTCACAATATAAGAGAACAAAATGTCAAAAATCATCTCCATAGATTCTCAAAAGATATAGTACAACCTTATAATATATACTAGAAAAAATAAAACTTTGGTATTTAGCAACCTTGTGCTGAAAATTATTGTTGGACTCCCTGAGGAAGATTCTGAAACAGAAGGACATTTGGACCTCTGTTGGAGGAAGACAGAGCACATGTAAAGAGAATATAAGGAGTCCTCCCTTTTGAAACTTTTTTACAGAGGAGGACTAGTATATATTATAAGGTTGTACTATATCTTTTGAGAATCTATGGAGATGATTTTTGACATTTTGTTCTCTTATATTGTGAATTGTGACTATGATGATTATGAATTGTGACTATGATGATTAATATGTATGAAGAAATTATTGTAATAATATTTTTCTAAATATGTATAATTATTTATGATAGGTTATAATTCATCTGTGCACGGTATCTATTGTATATTGGTTCCCCTACAAAGAAGGGCATTTATTGTTAGCCAGATTTAGCGCAATGCCATTGGCCATCTTCTCTGAAAGATGCCATAAAATCCCTTACGAACTTAGATGATGCCCTTGTAGTCAGGGTGCCATCGAATCCGTCTCCCACGTTCTTTTAAATTGTCCATTTTATACTAAGACCCGGGTTGAATTTCTGGACGCCCTTCTTTTTACGTGGCGTGGTCTCCCTGAGAGTGTCAAAGTACGGTGGCTACTCTCGGAGCAATACTCTTCTACAACTTTTAGCGTTGCCTGTTTTCTGTAGTGGTTAAGTGCGCGGACTCTAATCTGGGAGAACCGGGTTTGATTCCCCACTCCTCCACTTGCACCTGCTGATGTGACCTTGGGTCCGTCACAAGCTCTGGCACAGCTGTCCTTGAAAAAGAGCAGTTTGTGTCAGAGCTCTCTCAGCCCCACCCACCTCACAGGTTGTCTGTTGTGGGGAGGGGAAGGGAGAGGAGTTGGTAAGCCCCTCTGAGACTCCAAGTGAAGGGCGGGGGGGGGGTATAAATCCAATCTCCTCTTCTTCTTCAATCCGCAATTCAAATCAAAGAAACGATAAACTGAACAGTTCTTTTTTTCCCTTGCTGCTTGTTTGTCTGTACGACAGCCACATTTTTGATGTATTCCTAAATTTTATTGTACTTTTATCTCTGATGTGCCCATAAAGGTTGTCTGTCTGTCTGTCTACTCAGACCGGCAGCACCTTTCCAGGCAGAGGTCTTTCACCTCACCTGATCTTTTTTTTAACTTGGGGATGCCCGGGGTTCGAACCTAGGACCTTCTGCGTGCCAAGCAGTCGCTCTCCCGCTGAGCCACGCCCCCCTTTCCCTGCTTCTTACCGCCGATGCTCATGCCCGTTCCTTTCTCTCCCCTCCCGCTCAAGAGCACAACCGAAGCGGGGCTTCCCAGGGCTGCTCCTCCTGCTGCAAGAGCTTCTCCTCGTACTTCAAGCCGGAGCCCATTTACCAGCTTCCCTGCAGCCATCTCGTCTGTCGTTCCTGCTTGGCCGAAAAGCAGAAGTCTCTCTCGATACTGTGTATGGATTGTAAAAGGTCGGTCGCCACGCACGACGTCGTGAGGGTCCACTTCTGACTCGCTTCGGGACGGGCGTTCGGAACCTTGCGAGCTGCCGAAGAAGAGCCCCCCGAAGCAGCCGGTTCTTCCTTCCTGGCTGTTCTCTCTGAGTCGGGCAAGTCGAGAGCTCCTTGCGGAAAGGAGCGGTTCCGAAGAGGACGTTGCACTAAAATGCATTGGTGGGGCTGTAGCGTTTCGCTGGGGCTAAAGCGATCTGAGGATAATAAAGCCATATGCTTCCTAATTACACCCCGTTATTTAGCCGTCTTTCAGATGGGTTCCCGGCCTAGATGGCTTCCGCACGATCTAAATGATGAAAAAGAGATCTTTTTGTCAGTTATAAGGAAGGAAAGACGAGGACGGAGAAGGCGTCGTGGAAGTGCTTCATCTGCCGGTTTTATTTTCTCCAGCCATGCAAAAATAGATAAATAATAATAAACGTGCGCCAGAAATGAGCACACGGGTTGCCGGTTCCGATGACTGCGGGACTACCTGGGGGTAGGTGGCAGTGAGGTGATGCTTAAACAGTGCTGGGGACAGTTTTCTTTTCTTGTGCAATCCGTGTGTGTATGCGGCGGGGGTTGGTGGTGAGTCAGTGTATTACGTATGCACATACATGTCGTCCCTCTTGATTCCTTTTGGGAATTGCCGTCGACTCGGGAGCGCAGGGCGGGTGGGGACTGGCTTGCCTCCCGTACAGCTGATGAAAATTTAAGCCTTAATAAAGTTACGGTCAGAAGCTGCTGATCTCTGTGGGCTTCCGCAGGCTGTGAATTTCTTTCGTTCCTGTTCCCGGTGCCGGACAAAGTACATCGCCGCTACTGTGAGCAGGGTTACCTCTAAGCTGAGTTAGTGTGAGCCAGCTCAGTTTTTTAACCTCCAGCTCACAGATTTTTGTCTTAGGAAGGAGGGCTCCAGAGCAAACCCATTTATGCAGCATCCAAATCGCTCGCTCGTGACTTTTAATACCAGTAGCTCACCAAATAGAATTTCTGCTCACAAGACTCCGCAGCTTAGAGGGAGCATTGACTGAGACTTCCGTGCCAGGCCTCTGGAGTCAATCCACGCAAGAACCCTATGAAAGTAGAGAAGGGCAACGCATGTATTATAGGATGAAGGTCATAAAACAGGAACCTGCTGGCACCCGTTGCTTAGAACATAAGAGCCCTGCTGGATCAGACCAGTGGCCCATCTAGTCCAGCATCCTGTCTCACACAGTGGCCAACCAGTTCCTCTGGAGGGCCAACAACAGGGCAGAGAGGCCGAGGCCTTCCTAAGAACATCAGAAGAGCCCTGCTGGATAAGCCCAAGTGGTCCATCCAGTCCAGCATCCCGTCTCACACAGTGGCCAGCCAGTTCCTCTGGAGGGCCAACAACAGGGCAGAGAGGCCGAGGCCTTCCCCTGATAAGAACCTCAGAAGAGCCCTGCTGGATCAGACCAGAGGTCCATCTAGTCCAGCATCCTGTCTCACACAGTGGCCAGCCGGTTCCTCTGAAGGGCCAACAACAGGGCAGAGAGGCCGAGGCCTTCCCCTGATAAGAACCTCAGAAGAGCCCTGCTGGATCAGACCAGAGGTCCATCTAGTCCAGCATCCTGTCTCACATATTTATCTGGAGGGCCAACAATGGGGCAGAGAGGCCCAAGACCTCCTGATGTTGTCTCCTGGGAGGGGTATTCAGAGACTTGCTGCCTCTGTATATCCCTTTAATGAGTGGAAAAGGGAAGGTGGAAGGTCCTGCTTCTCAGAGTCCCCAGGGGGCTGGATGCGCCCACTGTGTTCTGGTCCTGGATTATGTTTGTAAATAGCTGGTCTACTTTGGCCCGTATTGTTTTCAAAGGTTGTTTTTGTAAACTGAAAGACTCCCTTGTTCTTCAAGTCCTTTGCTTATTTGGGGGAGCCAGTTTGGTGTAGTGGTTCGGAGGGCGGACTCTAATCGGGGAGAACCGGGTTAGATTCCCCACTCCTCCACATGCAGCTGCTGTTGTGACCTTGGGTCAGTTACAAGTTCTCTCAGAGCTGTTCTCTCACAGGCAGTTCTCGAAAGAGCTCTCTCAGCCCCACCTTCCTCACAGGGTGTCTGTTGTGAGGAGAGGAAGGGAAAGGAGATTGTAAGCCCCTCTGAGGCTCCGAGTGAAGGGCGGGGTATAAACCCAGTCCTTTCTGTGTTCTGGAGACAGTATGGCCAAATAGGTTAGCAAAGTGTTTCTTGTGGACTAGCAACTTTTGCAGGCTTACTCATGAGGCTGAAGTGATCCATTGCAACTTAGATGTGGCTGTTAAGAACATCAGAAAAGCCCTGCTGGATCACACCAGTGTTCCATATAGTCCAGCACCTTGTCTCACACAGTGGCCAACCAGTTCCTCTGGAGGGCCAACAGCAGGGCAGAGAGGTTCAAGGCCTTCTCCTGGTGTTGTCTCCTAGGACTGGTAGAAGAAGAAGAGATTGGATTTATACCCCGCCCTTCACTACCCAAAGGAGTCTCAGAGCGGCTTACAAACTCCTTTCCCTCCCCCTCCCCACAACAGACATCCTGTGAGGTAAAAGAAGAAGAGATTGGATTCATACCCCACCCTTCACTACCCAAAGGTGTCTCAGAGCGGCTCACAAACTCCTTTCCCTCCCCCTCCCCACAACAGACATCCTGTGAGGTAAAAGAAGAGGAGATTGGATTTATACCCCGCCCTTCACTACCTGATGGAGTCCCAGAGCGGCTTACAATCTCCTTTCCCTTCCCCTTCCCCACAACAGACATCCTGTGAGGTAAAAGAAGAGGAGATTGGATTTATACCCCGCCCTTCACTACCTGATGGAGTCCCAGAGCGGCTTACAATCTCCTTTCCCTTCCCCTTCCCCACAACAGACATCCTGTGAGGTAAAAGAAGAGGAGATTGGATTTATACCCCGCCCTTCACTACCTGATGGAGTCCCAGAGCGGCTTACAATCTCCTTTCCCTTCCCCTTCCCCACAACAGACATCCTGTGAGGTAAAAGAAGAGGAGATTGGATTTATACCCCGCCCTTCACTACCTGATGGAGTCCCAGAGCGGCTTACAATCTCCTTTCCCTTCCCCTTCCCCACAACAGACATCCTGTGAGGTAAAAGAAGAGGAGATTGGATTTATACCCCGCCCTTCACTACCTGATGGAGTCCCAGAGCGGCTTACAATCTCCTTTCCCTTCCCCTTCCCCACAACAGACATCCTGTGAGGTAAAAGAAGAGGAGATTGGATTTATACCCCGCCCTTCACTACCTGATGGAGTCCCAGAGCGGCTTACAATCTCCTTTCCCTTCCCCTTCCCCACAACAGACATCCTGTGAGGTAAAAGAAGAGGAGATTGGATTTATACCCCGCCCTTCACTACCCAAAGGTGTCTCAGAGCAGCTTACAAACTCCTTTCCCTTCCCCTCCCCACAACAAGCACCCTGTGAGGGAGGTGGGGCTGAGAGAGTTCTTGACAGAAACTGCTCTGTTTCAAGAACAGCTCTGACAGAACTACGGCTTGCCCAAGGCCATCCAGCCAGGTGCAAGTGGAGGAGTGGGGAATCGAACCCGGTTTTCCCAGATTAGAGTCCACGCACTTAACCATGACACCAAACTGGTATTTAGAAGCTTGCTGCTAGTGTATATGGGAATTCCCTTTAGTCATAGTTACCATGGCTAGCAGCTGCAGACATACCTGAGCTCCATGCATCATATCTAATCCATGTTCAAATCTTTCTGTGCCTGCTGTCATGACTGCATTATCTAGCAGTGGGGGCCACATTTTAATCGCTGGTTGAATAAAGAGGCACTTTTGTCCACCCTGAATCAGCTGTGCAATTAGAAGAGTCCGGGTGCTCTCTCCTCAAAGATCATCTCCTTATCCGACTTCTCTCCCTCCTGCACTCGGGTTTATTCAAAGCTACACTGCAAATCAGTTTGTCTGACCAATTTTTATAGCGGCTCCCTTCGATCCCTCAAATTCTTAGGTAAGGCTTCAGTGAGATGGTATGGAATATTCTGTTCTTCAGGGCACTGGACTGTTTGAAGTTCAGCTCCAAAGAGGGAAAAGAGTGGTCAGTACGAGTGAGATTGGAGCTGTGGAGAGCAGGTAAGGTCGTGGTCATACAGTCATTCTGACTGGGTTTCACAACTGTTCCCTATCGCATTTAAAAGGGCTGATCAGACAGCCGATTCTGTCTCCTGTATCGAAGCGGACTCACCCCCGCAATCCTCCCCGTTTTCTAGCACGTTTTCCGACACCGGGAAAATCAAGTACTTTCCTACTATTTGCGCTGTGAATCCACAATTTCTCCTATCTGAACAGCCATCCCTCACTATGAATGCAATTCAGTCATCAGTACATCTCGAGAGCCAGTTTGGTGTAGTGGTTAAGTGTGCTGCATGACCTTGGGCAAGCCATAGTTCTCTCAGAGCTGTTCTCTCAAGGGGAGTTTCTGTTAGAGCTCTCTCAGCCCCACCTACCTTACAGGGTGTCTGTTGTGGAAAGGGGAAGGGGAAGAAGTTTGTAAGCCGCTCTGAGACTCCTCTGGGTAGTGAAGGGCGGGGTATATATCCAATCTCCTCCTACTTTCCTACTACTTGCGCTGTGAATCCGCAATTTCTCCTATCTGGACAGCCATCTCTCACTATGAATGCGATTCGGTCATCTGTATATCCCGAGAGCCAGTTTGGTGTAGTGGTTAAGTGTGCTGGATGACCTTGGGCAAGCCATAGTTCTCTCAGAGCTGTTCTCTCAAGGGCAGTTTCTGTCAGAGCTCTCTCAGCCCCGCCGACCACACAGAGTGTCTGTTGTTGGGAGGGGAAGGGTTTGATTCCCCACTTGCACCTGGCTGGATGACCTTGGGCAAGCCTTAGTTCTGATAAGAGCTGTTTTCTCAAGAGCAGTGCTCGAAAAAGCTCTCTCAGCCATACCTACCTCACAGGGTGTCTGTTGTGGGGAGGGGAAGGGGAAGGAGTTTGTAAGCCGCTCTGAGACTCCTCTGGGTAGTGAAGGGCGGGGTATATATCCAGTCTCCTCCTACTTTCCTACTACTTGCGCTGTGAATCCGCAATTTCTCCTATCTGGACAGCCATCTCTCGCTATGAATGCGATTCGGTCATCTGTACGTCCTTCCTCTGGTAGTCCTCCCCCCCCCCAAGCTTTTGCCATTGTGTGCATAACTAATCCTGCACTGACTATATTAAATGCACGAACACTCAAGCGCCCATAAAACAGCGCTCAGTTACACGTCGGTCGTTCATTTTGTTCGGCACAGCTGTCTGGGTGGCGCCTGGAGCCTCGTCACGCAAAGCAAGTGGTCGGGCAAGGGGTGTGTAATCGTCTGAACCCAGTTTGGTGTAGCGTTCCGTGCGCCTCGGCATCTAGTCACACCGGCCACATGACCACAGAAATGTCTTCGGACAGTGCTGGCTCTTCGGATTGGAAACGGAGATGAGCACCGCCCCCTAGAGTCGGATCCGACTAGCTTTTGAGGAAGGGAAACCTTTACCTTGAAGTCTTAGAAACTCTAAGCAAAGTTAAACCTTTCTAAGACTTAGAGAGGTTTAACTTTGTTTTGCATTGCACTCCTAGCCCCTACTGGAATCAGTCAGATCACGACGTGGAAACTGAGAACTTTATTTTTTTTAAAAAAAACACGAAACAGCCTGCTGCCACCCCAAAGTGTCATCTCCAAATTGAACAAGACTGTTACGAGGCCATGCCCGTCTCCACATTACTGTATCTTA